GGTGTTGGAGGAGAATACTAAAAGTGGCCATGGGCTGCCAAAAGAACCAATAGATCTGTTTTGGAAGAGGTGCAGCAAGAGTGCTTCTTGGAGGCCAAGATGGCTAAACTTCATCTCTCATACTTTGGACATATTGTCAGGAGGGAACAGTCACTGGAGAAGGATGTCATGCTGAGTAAGATGGAGGGTCAGAGAAAGAGAGGAAGACCCCCAACGAGATGGATCAGCCAGTTGGCATAATTGATGGACTCAAGTGTGGCAGCGGTAGTGAGGTTGGCCCAGGATTGGACATTGTTTTGTTCTGCTGTGCATGGGGTCACTATGAGTTGGTTCCAACTCGATGGCACCTGACAACAATTACAAGGAGCTCTGGTAGCTTAGTGGTTACAAATCGGGCTGCTAACCTCAGGTTCAGCAGTTTGAAACTCCCAGCTGTTCTATGGGAGAAAGACAAGGCTTTCTGGTTCTGTAAAGATTTACAGGATTGGAAACCCTGTACAGGGTCACTGTGAGTTGGAACCGACTCCACGGCACATAACAACAACATGGACAAAATATGGTATTGTTCAGATAGTCTCAAAAGACGTTGGAAGGAATACAGTCACTTACCCAAAAGATTTGGTTGATGCTCAGCCAATTAAAGAGGCAGCATAGAAACTGAAATGTTTCAGCAAACTAATTCAACACTGGAGGTACTCATACATCTATGTGAAGAAATTTAGAACACAGCTAACTAGCCTACCAATGCGAAGAAATCCATACGTATGCCCATTCCAAAGAAAGGTGACTCACCAGAAAGTAGAAATTATCAAATAGTATCATTAATATCATATGCAAGTAATTCTCTTCGTTACTGAAGATAATTAAAAAGCAGTTCCAGCAGTGCATTGACAGGGAGTTGCTAGAAAGTGAAACTGGAATCAGAAGAGGATATGAAACAAGGAATAGCATTGTTGATGTCAGCTGGGCCTTGACTTAAAGAAGAAAATACCAGAAGATATTTACTTGTGCTTTATTGACTATGCCAAGAAATTCAACTGTGTAGATCATAACAAACTATGGATAACATTGTGAAGAATGGGAATTACAAAATACATTGTTGTGTTCATAAGGAACTTGTATATAACATAGACCAAGAAGGTTAGGCCAGGGGGGGTTACTGTGGTCAAACTCACCAACTGCTCCTCAGAAACCCTATACAGGGTTTCTCTGAGTCGGAATCAACTCGACAACTCATATAACAACAGAGAAGTCTTGGCTGAGTGCAAGCCTAATTAAGTACCTTTCTACATTATGGAAAAATCATATCTGCCTCAAGCTTTTAGGAGGCCATGTTTTTCTGTGGTGATTCAGTGGCTTAAGCACTGGACTGCTACCCGAAAAGTCAGCAATTAGTACCCACAAGCTGCTCTGATGGAGAGTGATGAAGCAGTATGTTTTTGTAAAGGTTACAGCCTTAGAAATGCTATAAAGCATTTCTCCTCTGTCTCACAGGGTCACTGTGTGTCAGATTCTACTCAACTGTGTTGCCAAACTGAACCAAGGGTTTGCCACCTGTCACTATAGTCAGACGGGGAGAGATCTGTTCCAAGCTTTATGAACAAAAAGCCAACAGTCTGGAGGACAAGGAGAATATTTTCTCAGGACTACCTCAGTATGTAAAGAAAACAAAAATCCTCAATGTAAAGAAAACAAAAATTCTCACCACTGGACCAGTAAATAACATCATGATAAATGACTAAAAGATTGAAGTTGTCAAAGATTTCCTTTTGCTTGGATCCACAATCAACACTCATGGAAGTATCAGTCAAGAAATCAAATAATGTATTACAGTAAGTATATCTGCTGCACTGTTGTTGCTGTTGCTATGTGCCGTGGAGTTGGTTCCAACTCACAGCGACCCTACACAGGGTTTCTGAGGCTGTAAATCTTTATGGGAGCAGACCGCCTCATCTTTCTACTGCGGAACCGCTGGTAGTTTTGAAATGCTGACTTTGCGGCTCACAGCCCGATTCATAACTACTACGCTACCAGAACTCCTTATCTGCTGCACTAGACCTCTTCAAAGTGTTCAAGAGCAAAATTCTCATTTAAGGACTAAGGTATACCTGACATAGGCCATGATATTTTCAATAGCTTCATATGCATGAGAAAGTTGGACAATTAATAAGGAAGACTGGAGAAGAATTAATACATTTGAGTTATGGTTTTGGAGTAGAATATTAAAAGTACCATGGACTGTCAGAAGAACAGACAAATCTTCATTGGAAGAAGTACAGCCAGAGTGCTCCTTGGAAGCCAGGTGACCAGACTCTGTCTCTCATATTTTGGACATATTATTAGAAGGGACCAGTCCCTGGAGAAGGACATCTTGCTTGATAAAATGGAGGGTCAGCAAGAAAAAAGTAAGAGCCCCCCAGTGAGATGGATTGGCACAGTGGCAGTAGCAAAGGGCTCAAGCATAGCAACAATTGTGAGGATGGTTCATGACCAGGCGGTGTTTCATTCTGTTGTGCATAGGGGTGCCGTGAGTCAATACTGACTCAGTGGCACCTAACTACAACAAAGTTGTATTTATTATATTATGCAATAAAAATGGAATATGTTGTAAAATGATTAAATATGAGTGCAACAAAAAAGAATGTTATTCCTGAAGGCCCAAAGAGTTAGGGATGGAAAGGGGGAAGCTGTTTGTTTTGGAAAGCAATCTGGTTATATACATATGGTGATGGTGGTTAAGTGCCGTAGAGTCAGTTCCGACACATAGTGACCCTGTACAGAGTTTCCGAGGCTGTACATCTTTATGGGAGCAGAAAGCCTCATCTTTCTTCTGCGGAACAGCTAGTAGTTTCGAACTGCTGACCTTACGGTTCGCAGCCCAATTTGTAACCACTACTCTACCAGAGCTCCTTATATACATATGGATAAGATAAGTATGAAGATTAGCTGAGACTTAACTGTAAAGGATTTAGCACTAAGATTGTTTTTACAATTGTCTTGAAATGAAAGCAACCATTTAAAGGAGTTAAACATGGAATTTGTAGATGAGGCCAGAGAGGAGTCATTTATGAGAACAATATCTGGAGAATACCAATCTACAGATACTTCAGAGAAAAAAACCCTTGGCCATAAGTTAAAAAGTAGCTATTTATTTCTAATAAAAATTTCAGGTACATATAAAGATACTTTATGATTCTCCATTGTGAGCAACAATCTCATTTGCCCAATTCTTTTGGAATTCTATTTAATCAAGTAAGATGCCTTTCCTGTAGGATCTTAGTGGAACATCCCAACATAAGCATTGAATAGCATAAAAGACATGTTTAAATCATTTTAACTTTGTTAAAATATCAAATCCTTTAATATTGTCCTTCCTGGAATTCCATCATAAAGCACACTATTAGAGAGCAATGCATACTCAAAGAATTTTTTTCATTCCTGTCACCTAGAGGAAAAAAGGAATAGATTCCTGGAAAAAAATGAATAGATTCCTGATCTATTTTCTATGTGCAAAGACAGGAAATCTTCCTAGTAAAACATTAATAAATTTGAATCCAGTAAATGATTGACTCACTAAAGAAAAAAGAGAAAAACTGTAACTAGCATGAGGAGCAAAGAAAGATCTTGCAAATTGAAAGAAAAGCATATTGACACAAGTCAAAACAAGTCACTGTTCCATGAAAGCATAGGCAAGCTGATCTTCCAAAAGATATTTTACTCTCTCTCTTTTTTTTTAAGTACAGCCACCAACCCCTAAAGTCTCATTTCATCCACAAGAACTGAAGTTGGTTGAAATGATAAGGTCACAGATTCCTCATATTACCATAACTTGTTTTTCTAGATTCCAGCTTTAGGCTTTTCTTAGGGTCCATTCAACTGACCCAATCCTGTTTGGAGTAAATAGAAGTGTTTGGAATTCAGTGTTGACACAACGATCTGAGTTATGTTTTCTAAAAAGAATAAATGGAATCTTCATGTTCTAGATTCCACATAAGGCATTTGGCTTGGAACAAGCTGCCATGACCAGCCAGTCTCAGGGCATCCACCAGCTCCTTCAGGCAGAAAAACGGGCCAAAGACAAGCTCGATGAGGCAAAAAAGAGTAAGTTCATCCTGTCTGGACAATCAGGGATTTGTCACAAATGTTCTGTAACTGGAAGTGGTGGTGCAGGGGGTTGAGATTGGACTTGGAATCAGGCAGAACTCCATTCAAACTTCGAATTCCACCACACTTACTTTGAGATCTTGGGTCAGTTTGTTAAAATTCCCCTGTCATATGATGGATTTCCTAATTCAGATCCTTTTGAAGGAAGACTGATGTTTTGGAGACCTGAGCTCAGACCTTACTTAGTTCTGTAAGTTACTGTTGCAACGCCTCACTTTTCTCAATATGGAACAATGGTTCAGTGATAGATGGCCTCCAGTTTCAATCTACTTACTAGTGGGTGACCCTGAGGAAATTGCCTCTTCTCTGTAAGCATTAGTTTCCTGTTCTATAAAGTTGGGATAGTAGCATTCACTATTGTATTCTTTTTCCTCTCTTGGTAGCTTTCAATTTCAATATTTAAAATTTTTTTCAGGTTATTTTCATTTTCTAACTTTTTCACCTTAGTCATATATCTGTAGGCTTACACTAGACTAGCCTCAATAAACTTCAATCCCCTGGGGGTGAGGTGGTGGGTCACTACTCACAAGGTCTGCAGTTCAAATTCACTTGTTGCACCTTGGAAGAAACACAAAACTATCTACTTCTGTAAAGATTTACATTCTTGAAAACCCTATATAGGGTGGTTGTGTGTTGGAATTGACTATGGGCAGTGAGTTTGATTTTGGGTTTTCTCCTTGGTAATCACAACAACCATATAAGTTAGATATCCATGTTATTCCCATTTGTGTTTGCAGAAACTGAGATTTGTGATTTACCCAAGATCATACCAAAAGCACCATAGATCATATTTTATCATGTGCTCTGTTTAGTACCTCACAATTCATTTACTCAAATCATTTTACAAAAGGCAAAGCTAATACCTAAAGGAAGTCTGCAACTTGCCAGTGTTATTGTTGTTAAGTGATGTGGAGTCATTTCTGACTCGTAGTGACCCTGTATAGGGTTTCCAAAGAGCGGATGCTGGGCTTGAACCGCTGACCTTGTGGTTGGCAGTCTAATGCTTATCCTACAGCTCCACACAACAACAGGACTCCAAAGTAATTCAGAGGGCAAATGATACAGATAGCATTTGTATGAGGTCTAGCTGATTTCCAGGCCAAGATCTTAACTACTTCACAATACAAAGTTCATGTAATTTTCATCATAAAAAATTAACATACAAATAAACTCCTAACATACAACAGATCAACAACTCAAACTCTGGTTCCCTGCAACCAAGCCCTATGTTTTCCCACTATCCTAATCCATATTAAATTTTTGCTTAATCTAAAATAATTTGTAGTATTATGTAGGAGTCCTGGTGTGACTCTATAGGATATGCATTTGACTGCTAACCACAAGGTCTGTGGTTCAAACCCATCAGCTGTTCCTCAGAAACCTAATACCGGGTGTCTATGAGTCACAACTGACTCCAAGGCACTTAACAACAACAGCAACAATATTATGTAACTTCTGCTTTCCTCTACAATTAGTGTCTCATGTTCAATAACATGGAAGTTATGCCTTTAAAATGTTCTGTATTTAAATTTAAATAATTTTCATTAATACCTACTCTATACATATCTCTCAGGATGAATGGAGTAATACATATGAAGTAGGAGTTAATGAAAATTATTCAAATATATTAAATGATATTAAAGAATAGTACAAGGGGCCTTCAAAAGATTAGTGGAATTCATTATATTTTCATTCCATTTTTCCATAAGCTTTTTGAAGTCCCCTCATACATAGTAATGCAGGAGAGGAAATTGGAATGAGGTACTACTCAATTCCCTGAGGTTTTGACCCAAAAATGAAATAATTTTCCTTTAAGATAAGTTGATTTCCTAAGCACTCGGTAATGCACACACTGACAATAACAACCAAAAAAACAAACAAACAAACAAAAAAGATAAAGACTCCGTGTGAGAGGGAAGAAACGAAGGAGAAAGACATGAAGACAACCTTATGATCCAGCAATTCCTCTACTTGCTATATACCCACAAGAAATACAGGCCATAACACGAATAGATATATGCACACCAATGTTCATAGCAGCACTATTTACAATAACAAAAATTTGAAGACAGCCTAAGTGCCCATCAACTGAAGAATGGATAAACAAACTGTGGTACACACACACAATGGAATATTATGCTACCTTAAATAACAAGGAAGCTAAAAGCCACCGCATAACATGGATGAACTTTGAGGATATTATGTTGCGTGAAATTATTCAGTCACAAAAGGAGAAATACCGCATAGAACAACTACCCTAAAAGACTAAAAAAAAGAACCTTTACCGGGATATAGTTCGTGGAGTGAGGGGAGGGAGGGGCAGGTGAATCACAGGGTAGGGAATAGACACAGGATAGTTTGGGTGCTAGGGAAGGGGACAATACACAAGAAGGGGGAAGGGGAATGGAAGAACAAAGCGGACAGGAAAACAATTAGGCAGGTTAGCAGGGACTAAGTGATACAGAGTAAATAATGATGTATGCACAACCTTGGAACAACAGGGCTCTGGGATACAGGGATTGAGACATAGTTGGAATGGGGTAAAGGGGGGGAAATAATGTTAAGATGATTGGCTGTCTTTTGAATCTTGGGTTCCCTGGCACACCATTATAAAATAGGCACTTGAGGGGGAGAGAAAGGAAAATCACCACAGAAATATCACCACAGAAATCTTGTAAGTCTGTCTTCTGCCTATAAGTGGTTGGAATACCTAAAATGGGGCTACAACATGCCAATGAAGGAGGTTTCCTG